AGAAAATATGAATCCTACTATAGAAAATCCATCATTATAAAATTTGTGAAATGCAAATTAAAAAATTATCTCAAGCCACCCCCATGAAGTTTCTCCTTTGAAAGTTTGAAACTTAATTCCATTGTGTTTCTGAGAGAGAGAGAGCAAAATAATTTGTTTTGCTACCGACAATTAAATCTGAGCAAAGAATACATTGAGTTTGTCACTATATAAATGGAAGAAAAGTCTTCTCTATATTATGGCCTTTCATAACACAGCTCTGTGAAAGTCAGTGTATTAAGTCGGATAATATGATCGGCTTCTTTATCATTTTCCTTTTCTTTCTTTTTTTTTTGCGTAATTGATTTTTTTTAGAGCAAATTTCATTTTGCTCCCAAACCTATCACTCTAAAATCAAAATCTAGACCACATGTGTTTTAGAGAACATCTTCTTTTGAGATTTGGAAACAATGTAGAACAATGATGATGAATATTACCCACATGGTTTTCAACCTATTACTAGTCGATTAGTCCTATTGAAATTAATTTAGGAGATAAGCTAGATACAATTGCTAAGAGAGAAAGAGTAGTTTTTTTTTTTTTTTTTAATTTTGGGCTTAATTAGTTTCCCTAGGGTGGACTGAGGGTACTTTAAAACTTAAAGCTACAATTTCAAATGAAGTATATATTTGAAATAAATTTTTGTAAATTTTATTTTTCTTAATTTTTTAGATGAAAATTATTATTAGATAGTTAAATTTAATTTTGTTAATACATTCACAAATCTAATTGGTATTTTGGGGATAGTTTGTAGGGGGTAAAATGAACTTTCAAATGCAGTTTCAGTGCCACCTCAACAACTTCGGTTTGATTATAGACGACAACGAACGACATGAATAAAATTGATCCAAAATCAAATGATATAGGAATAAAATTAATATTATTAAAAGAATAAAGCCTACAAAATTGAAGTTAGTACTTATTCGGTTGTATCTTTGACTCAATTGTGAAGAATACTCAATAGTACATATACTTAATATTTTTATTTAAAATTTATTTTTCTCACTTTTTTAGATAAAAATTATTATTAGTTATTTAATTTTTTTTATAAAATATTTGGATGTCTAATTAATATTTTGGGATAGTTCGGTTGGTAAAATGAAGTATCAAATGAAGTTTTAGTGTCACGTCACCAACTTTCGTTTGATTATAAATGACAATTGATGGAAGAGATAAAATTGATCTAAAATCAAATAGTTTACACGTAAAATTGATACTATTAAAAGAATAAACTCTATATAAAATTAGTAAAATTTACATGATGTTTGAGTTTGTATAAAATATTATTTTATAAACTTCATATAAAATAAGTAAAATTAGTAAAATTTACAAAAAAATTAAATTTGTATACAACTCTATATGTAATAAAGGAAATATAAATCTATGAAAATACTAATTAGTAAAATTTACACGAACTTTGAGTTTGTATAAAACTGTAACAAAAGAAATATAACTTCATAAAAACACTGCTTCTAATAATATATATATATAGAGAGAGAGAGAGGATTGAAACAACCTGAACTCACTGCTCTGTTCTCGAAAGGGTTTTCTAATTTTTGGGTAAATCAATCGATGGGAATGAGTATGGCAGCAATGGAGGCCTGGAAGAAGAAGTTGGAAGCCGTAGATGATATATTCACCGTGATTGATTCAGCCATCAACGTCGCAGCGTGGTATCGACCCAATGATTTTTTTGAGCGAAGAGATAGAATCGCTGAGAAACTCTATGTAAGGCAGCCCATCAGAGGAGGTTACTGCGGTACCCAAAATGATAATGATGATGATGATGATGATGATTCTTTGGATATGGATTTGAATGATGGAGATGTTGATTGGTTGAATGGGATTGTATCAGAGCTGGTGAAAGACTCTGCTTTGGATACAGAAGAAGAGCTAGGAGATTATTTTTCTGATTCTGAGATCGATCATCATGATGATCATCACTGTCATGATCATGATCTCCCAATCCCCACACACGGAAAAGGAAAGCAATTGTCTCTCGTTCAGAGCGCATTATTACAATCACCGAAGAGAAAGAGAAGCACCGAGTCTGAGAACAAGAAAGAGGAGCAATGTTCTGTCCCTCAGGCGATTGCAAAGTGTCCGAGGCAAAGCACTGAGATCAGCAAAATCAGTGAAGCGGCCAAATCACCGAAGAGAAAGAGAAGCACCGAGTCTGAGAACAAGAAAGAGGAGCAATGTTCTGTCCCTCAGGCGATTGCAAAGTGTCCGAGGCAAAGCACCGAGATCAGCAAAATCAGTGAAGCGGCCAAATCACCGAAGAGAAAGAGAAGCACCGAGTCTGAGAACAAGAAAGATGAGCAATGTTCTGTCCCTCAGGCGATTGCAAAGTGTCCGAGGCAAAGCACCGAGATCAGCAAAATCAGTGAACCGGACAAAGCAAAAGTGGAAGAACACAAGTCTGCGTGCTTCAATGATGCAGAAGCTTATGAACTGAAGATGGAAGCCACGAAGAGGAAACTCCAACAAAGGTACAAGCAAATTGAGAGGGCGAAGAAGAAGATACGGGTGGTACAGGCTTGAAAGACAGCAATTTTTTGTATTAACACATCGGAGAACCTCATTCCCTCTCTGCAAAACTTCTCCATAGATAGGCCACATTTTTTTGTACCTCTTTTAAATTCATATCCAAAATTTAATGAATTAATTTAGAAGAGACAAGAACAATTAATCACTAAAACCTCAATTTAGGGAATATGATCGGATCACATATTCAATTACTACCATACAAGAGGCTTCATCCTTAACCTTAGCTAATAATTTCACTACTCATAATTATTTTAACATACACACTGAAATCAAACATGAAAATAAAACTTACAACTAAAAGGAGAAAATTACATCAAAATACAAGACCGAGCTCCACTTCTTTTCCAAAAACTCCCTCCTTTCTCACATTCAGTTCATCCCATTTATAGAGCTCACTACACACTCCTGAAACTGTCTAATCTTTAGAAGCCGGTATTATTGAGATTTTGAAGCTGAAATTGTTAAAATTTGATGCATCGATTTTCAGTAACAGATCACACGACTTCATCTACATATGCGTTCAGTCTTCAATTCAGAGATTATGTTCATGAGCTTGAGGAAATGATTTTATTGCACCTGCATAATTGCACAGCTAAGTCAATAGAGTGGTTGGAAACTTTCTCTTTTCTTTCTTGTTTTTTTAATATATTGTAATATATATTTATATGTATATACTATATATATTTATATAGAAGCAAACGAACAAACAAACGGGTGGCTTTCATTTTTTTATTATATTTTCTTTATGTGATATCATAATACTAGAGTATGCTCGTGCCTGAAGGCACGGTGCAAATAATATTGGTATACAGACTTTACAAAAATCAATTAACATAAATTATTAATATTGGTATCACATCCTTTATAAAAAAATATAAATTCAAAATGATAATAACTTCACTGTTATAGAAATCAATTATAATAAATCAGTTCAAGATGACAATAATTTCACTGCAATATAAAATTCCACACATAAGACTTCTGCCACCATCTACGGCAATACCACCGCCGGCCGTGACTTCAGCAAGAATCGTACGATGGTGGTTTGTTTAAGTTAAAACATAATTTATCAAATTCATTGCTAAAAGTCAAAATGTTTGAGGTGACATTTTTTCTCAAATTCTCATATAATTCTCACATATATATATATATATATATATAATGTATTTAAACAATGTCACCTCAAACATTTTTTTGAGTCGTATGTATTTAAATATTTTTTTGATTAAAATAATATTAAAAGACAAAATGAGTTAAAATAATATCAAATTCATAATTATTTTACATTTTTTTTTCTCATATACATCATATCTAATTATAAAAAAAAATTTAACAATCTTGCTAAACATAATTATTTCCTTTTCAAATGTCAAGTGTCAATGGTGGTGGACAGTCACGAAGCGGAGGCGGCAATGAATCCCTTCTTTCGTTCATGCTTTCTCTCTATTTTTTTTTTCACTCTATTTTATCTTAAATTTGTGATTTGATTTTGTTAAATCATAAGAAATCAACACCCATTTCAAAAGCTTTTTTCAAAACCATAAAAAATCAACACTCATTTTCCTTTAAGAAATTAAATCCATTCCATAAATCAAACTGAAAATAAAAATATACTTGTAAAATCAAAACCCATTTTATAAAGACCAACTATTATTTCAGACCTAAAACTTTTTTAAAAATTAAATTCAAATCCATAAGCTGCATAAAAAAAATCTATATAAATAAAAAAACAAACAAAACACACAAACAGCAAGATAATACAAAATTTTAACTAATTCCTTAAAACACCCCTGTAATTATTGAAACTTGTCAAATAAAATTATATCCCACTTATTTTTATGTGTAAACTTTAACATAATTAGTCATTGGAGGTGCATTAAAAAATTAAGAGAAGAAGATGACAAAGAATATGGTTCGGATATATCTCTCTATATATGGAAAACATGGATGAGTCAATTCTCAAGAGGAAGATAAACATTGGTCAGTGGGGACAAATCAAAAAAATTAAAAATAAAATAAAAAATGAGTTTCACATTCCAATTATTCCTTATCCAAACAACCCTCATCTACTAAAGCCAAACTTAGCCAGACGTGGCGTCCCACCACACCACATCTCTTCTCTCTCCTCTCTCTCTCTAGATCTCATGGCTGCCTCTCTTCCCATTTTCCTTCTATTCTCTTTCACTTTCCTCTCACTTTCTCTCTCTCTCAGAAACCCAGTTCACAAAACATTGGTATAGTCCTTCCAGTGATCAAAGATGTCTCAACACTCCAATATGTGACCCATATGCATCAAACAGTCACACAACACAGTGGATGTCATTTCTCTCTCTCCAAGTTAGCGTGATAGTGTATAGAGAAAGAAATGAGAGTTAAAAAGGCAGGGAAGAGAGTGGGGAGCTCTCTAGAAACGTTGGCAGTAGCCTGATGTCGATCCATCCATAGCAACGGTGATGATGAGCGGTGGCAGTGGTGATGAGCAACAGCGGTGGAGATGACTGGAGGAAGTGGCGTTGTGCGGTGGCGATGACTGGAGGAGGTGATGAGCAGCACCATGGCTGGGTCGAGAGAGAGTCGTCGAAAAGAGATGTATCACCGTCGAAGAGGGAAGTAAAGCAGAGAGAGGGGGTGGGTGTTTTGAAATTTGAAAATTGGGAGTGAGACTGAAAGATAAAGAGATGAGAGTTTATAGAGAGTTTGATGAGCGTGGGTGTTTTGAAACTTGAAAATTGGGAGTGAAACTGAAAGAAAAAAAGAGGAGAGTTTATAGAGAGAGTTCCATGACCGTGGGTCTCTCTTCCGTAGGGAGTAGATGGGTGTGTTTTGAAATTTAAAATGTGAAAAGGTGAGGTGCAACAGATGAGAATGGGTGGTTGCAAAGCTTGTGGCTCTTGGGCGGGAAGTTCAGGTAGAGTGAGAGAGAAGGTTTTCATCTCAACTGTCCATCTAAATACATAAATGAATCATGACCATTTAAATGTCCTAGTAGGACAATTGTCTCTAGGATAAATTCAAAAACACTCTTCCCTTATTATATAGATTATAATATATATATATATATATAGAAAATATATCATTTATAATAATTTGTATACAACACTCAAAATATATAAAAACACTCAAAATCACACAAAATTATAAAATAAAACTCGTTATCAGACTAATAAAGTGTATATTAGCGGGCTAAATATGTAACGTTATGGCATTTATCATCTTTTATTTTTTTCATTTTACAATGCTTCAATGGTGTTGTGATTGAAATTGGGTGCATGCTTTGTTGAGAGTCATCACTAAGTCTCCTCACTCTCTAGAATCTTGTCTCTAGAATATTCTAGAAGTTTCTACATGAATCTAGAATACTCCGGAAAGATCTAAAAAATTCTGGAAAGACCTAGAAAAATCCGGAAGATTCTATAATATCCTAGAAGGTTTCGGAACATTAAAGAAGTTTGGCGAAAACTAGAGAAATCTAGAATGTTCCGGAAGGTTATAGAATATTCTAGAGAAGAATAAAAAGCTCTAATATGTACTAAAGTAATCTAGATTGCTCTAGAGTGTGGGGAAAATATGAGTGTATTCTATAAACAAAGTTCTTCAACTAATATAAATATGAGATGAATGCATGTACTAAGCAAATGGACAATTGGACAATTGAGTGAAAGAAGAGTGAGTCCAAAGTGAGTTGTCAAGCACTATCTAGTGTAAGGTGTCTCAAGGTCTTGTGTGAGGAAGACACAAAGTGTGAGTGCTTGAATGTACGTGTGAGTGGATAAGTGAAGTGCATTAGTGTGTGATTGTGTACAAGTGTTTTGTGTACTAGAGTGTTATCAATAAAGATTGTATTTCTAGGTCTACTAGTGTCTCAAACTCAACATACTTCACTTAATCATCCATTCTTTGTTGTCCTAGAGGATATGAACTCCGTGGTGAAGAGTTTCCATGACTTATATAGATTAAAAGGCAATTCGTTTTGATATCCTAGGTGTGATACTTTATAATTAACTTGAGCTTAAAATTTTGTTCCCCAACAACTTCTTATAGAACATTGAGTCATATATATTCAGGGACTCGATCATATATGGTGGTGAGATCATTAAAGTTGGTGCTAATTCATTAATGGCAATAGTGTCAATCAACGCAAGTTCTTGACTTATGAGATTGGCAAGTAAGGGTCCTATTGGCCACTCTTGAAAATTTTGACTCTATCTCTGCCTCTGTCTCAGACTCTCTTCTTCCAAAAGTGGCGCTTCAGGAAGCAAGTGCAACAACTACAACATCATTTGAAGAACCATTCTACATTGAAGAACCATTCTATGATGAAAACTTACATTTTTCTCTAGAGGACTTGAATTTATTACTGTCAAATTGTGACAAGACTCTTCCTTGATAGAAACATGGTGCTTATTGTTTGGAATATTGGTAATAGTTGTGGTGTGTATATCTACCATTGGGATTCAAAGTGTATTTTTTTTTAGAGAAATGCTACTTATCAATAAAGCACTCTTCTTTTTTATCTTGTTGGGTCTTGTTGTTTAGCTTTGTTGATTTTTTTGTTTTTATTTTAAATTTTTTCTTTTTGTGAGTTGGTAGGTATCAACTTGTCTAAGGTAGGGATTAGGTTTTTCTTTTTTGTACCTCTTTTGAAAAAAAAATTTATTAGCAATTTAAAAGAGCAATTTTATTGATGGATAGCAATGAAATGCATTACAATCAACAAAAACAATAGGGAAAATAAGAAAACATAGCAAGATCACCTGTAAAAACAAACACACATACAAAAAGGGTTGTCGCCCTTCAAGTTTGCGTGCATTTGTGTTTGTTTTTCCCATTAAATAAATTTGGAGTTACGAAAGTTTAGACTCTTCACAAGTAATTTGTGGTTGGAGAATGAATTATAGTCCTCATGACCATATAGACCAAAATGAATGTCCTGCCGTAATTTGATAATTTTAAGGGATGAAAAATACACTATTCTCAATTTTATACAATTATCAATAATTAGATAAACATGTCATTCTGAATTTATGGTTTGTTGGGTATTTTCTTCTTACTAAAAGGGTTTTTGTTTTCTTATGAGATATGAAAGATTTAAGAAAGGGATAAAGGTGGAATCAGAAAAATCTCTCAGAAACAACTCTCATGCTAACAGAGAAAATATTAATGCCCACCCTAGACCCCCAAAACTCTATTTTACAATTTTGAATTCCTAACCCCCTTCAATTCATGTATAACAAAAGTCATTCACAAAATAATCTCTAAGGCTGTGTTTGGATGGTCGATTTGAGTAAGGATTTTGAAAAGAAAAGGAAAAAGATGAGGGAGATGCGAATGAAACATAAGTTAAATTTTTTCTCTATTTCTCTTTTGTTTTTTAAATCCCTATATCAAAATCCATAAATCCAAACATAGCGTATTTGAAGAAGTGACTCTATGTTAACTATTTTGCATCTTCATTAGTTGTGAACACTATGATATTTCTAACTCATATGATAATTTTTTATGGATGGAGAGTCCAAGAAAAAAGAAAACAGAAAAAGAAAAAGAAAAGCAGGGTGAAATTACTGTTCAATTGTAAGTTTAAAAAAATTATTACACATTAATGAAAAAAATGAATATAACTATTCTCAATCCCTTTTGTTTTACGTTGAATTAGAAAATTTGAATCATAAAAACAAAATTGATCTTTGTTTTTAGTCATGGTTTTTCACGTATGCAATCTTCATCAATACATGTAAATGGTTTGGGAGAGAGAGAGAGAGAGACCAATCCTTTTTTTCATTTACTGAAACTCAAATAACATAAATGTGTTTAAGAATTCTTCTATAACACAAACTACATGAGAATTTCTCATAAAAAGTAAAAAAAAATAACACCCGACAGGCACTCATTTGCAACATTTTTACACCATGTTAAATGTCTCCAATAAAATTGAAGAGAAGATTTATAGGATCTTGAGAGAGAGAGAGAGAGAGAGAGAGACCAATCCTTTTTTTCATTTACTGAAACTCAAATAACATAAATGTGTTTAAGAATTCTTCTATAACACAAACTACATGAGAATTTCTCATAAAAAGTACAAAAAAATAACACCCGACAGGCACTCATCTGCAACATTTTTACACCATGTTAAATGTCTCCAATAAAATTGAAGAGAAGATTTATAGGATTAGGCATGCCCTTCCCAGTTTTGGCGTCATATGTCTTTTCCAACACCAGATCCATCGGAGTATCCTTGGGACCAACTGAAAAAACAAACAAAAACAAGCCACCTCATCACATTAGACCTTCAATGAAAATTAGATTTGAACAAATGACATCAAGGGCTACTTTTAAATTCAAGTATCAAACAATTATATTCTCAAAAAAAAGTCTAGCAATTATTTTGTACTCTAACAAGAAACTGTAATTTAAGAACGATTTCTAAATAAGCAGCTACCGGGGGCCTTCAAGAAGTTATCAAGGACCATACTAAAGGTTTCCAATTGAGTGGAAGCTATTCAGAGACAGTATCAAAGTTGAATTCCATCCAAAAGTTACTCACCTTCCAAATATTCTCTTAAGTTTCAGACATGCCTAACAGAAACTATGGCCTTTTTATTTCCCAACTAAACTAAATATGATAAACAGAGAGAATGTTTTGAATGCTCTCATAACTGAGAGAACTGTTTGAACTATACACATGAGCCCTGGCAATATGCAGTCAAGAAATCACAACATACACAACGGCTGCAAAATCAACACAAAAACCCATGTTGACAAGTTACTGCCTTAGAAAGGCAAAAAAATTATGGAAAGTGAAAGTACTAGAAAGTAAAATCAATGAAAGAAAAATGTAGAGAGAAGTAACTTTTCAATATGCATTTGGTTGGGTAGCAAGTTTGTCCAAGATGTTATTTGAATATAATGAAATTTAAAATTTTACTGTGTGTATATTAACCTCATCCATATGTCTACAAGACAAAAGTTAAATATAATTGAGCAGCTTAGGAAGGTGCCACTCACCTGATTTTTTCCCTCAACAATCAAACAATTTTGAGAGCGAATGACATGCTTAACAACTCCAGTCCCACCTCTATCTTTACCCCTGGTTACCATCACCTGCAAATTAAGAGAGGGAAACATTCATTTAAGATGAGAACAAGGCGGAGAATAGACCATACAGGTACAAAGAGAAAAATAATCCTCTCTCTTTTTCTTATGTTATCTCCTCTGAGAATCTTCCAGTGGTGTATGAGTTTCTAAGCTGCTCTCCAACATATTTCAAATTAAAGTTATAATCAAGGATTAACCAAGTAGTATTAGCATTTAGCAGTATTAGCATAACATGGCTAATAATTATTTTAACCAGTATATGGTCAAAATTAAATAATAAAATTGAAAAGAACTTGTCAATTTACTAAGCATATGAGATTGCAAGTCTAATTCCAATGGAAGCCACTCTTCGCAAATCATATAAAGGTAAGAGCTAAACCTAATCTACCCCCCATCCCAGCACACCCCAGTGTAATGGGATCGTTTCGGGTAATGCTTTTAAGATCATAGTTTAAAACCCACATTATGTAACATTCTGCACTAAAAATGGTATAAAAATTCAGACTTTGTTGGGTTATATTCCAAATCTCCCATAGCTACATGATTGTGATGCTAAATGTCATGGAACATAAAGCTAATAATCAATTTCTCTTTACAGTGGTGGAAGCTAGAACAACTGAAGAATGTATACTTTAACAATAAAGGAAAATTCAAGTATAAATTGAAAACATCTTAACACACCATCATCATAACCACACACACAAACTTTATTCAACACAATAATTAGTAATTTACTTTGAACATCAATGTGAGCCGCAATAATTAAAGGTTGAATTGGGAAACAAGCAAAATTAAGATTTACTGACATAAAAACCAAGACTTTTTACTGATTTTTTTTTTTAATTCAAAAAATTTTAAATTTCTAGATTTGGCTTGACAAAACGAATCGAAAATGAAAAAAAATTTATAAAAAATCTAAAAATGAAAAAGATAAATAAAAAATAGTAAACTATTTTTTTTTTAATTTTTTTACTTTATAAGTTCATCTGCAGAAGACAAATTAGAAAAAAAAAATCAATATAGAAAAAAAAATCAAAAAAATAAAATTGACTTGTTTAGTTTACTCCAAACAACCCCTTAAAAAATCAAATCAATCGATGGGTTAATTATTAGAAGAACATGTATACCATTAAATCTCACTATTGTTTGTATAGATCAAAAAATCGTAAAAAAAAAGTGACATTTAGTGATGTTTTTCATAATCTGTTGCTAAAATCAAGTAGGGTGTTATGTTGTTATCTAAATTAGTTTATTATCTGTATAGGATAGTTGGTCAGTGATTCATGTGACTATCTCTTCAGATTACAAGAAATTCAGAGGTTTAAAATTTGAGTCAATAGAGTAATTGTGACTTTACTAACCTAAGATTGAGTTATCTCACAGATTAACAATCCAACAAACTCCTCAATCCCTAAACAAGCATAACCTTAATCTTTATTTTTCTAAAATACAATTTTTGTTTTACTAAAAAGTGGTCACCTGCCGTCTATCTTTCTTTTCATTTTTTTTTTTTTTTGGAACTAATAAGAGAAACCTCATAATGGGTAATGGGCAATAATACACAGCAAATAAATCTTTTACAGCTAGGTTTTAAGATTTTGTTGGCGAAGTTATTTATTTAAGAGTAGAATTTCTTTTAATCAATGAAATTCTATGATTTATAGTAATTTTGTAAAAATAATTAACTGTTTTATCAATAAAAATCAAATTAACAACACCACAATATCCTGTCCATGAAAACTTTAATAATTCTTCATAGCAATTCTCATTCTAAAAAAAGACAAGTTTTAAATAATTGGTTGTTAAAAAAATGACCAAAATGGAGGGTATTGAAAGGACAATGAGAGACATAATTGAAGACAAAATGGGACCAAAAATGATGAATGAATATCACGCATCCCCAATCTATATATTATTGGGTGACATATATAATGAGTATATAATTTAAATATTTATATAAATAATAATAATATTACTATCACAATATGTGTGTTGTGCTGTTCAAAGTGTAATTTTTTTTTAAAAAAATTAAAATTAAAGATTTTAAGGCATCAAATATATATAAATAATTTTACAAATTCAAATCCATTTTCCTTAAATTAAGGCCTTGTTTGGGATAAATTAAAAAAGTCACAAAGTTACTATAAAAAGCTAAAAAGTCTATACTACTCATGTGTAGCTTGTGGGGAAGCCACTAGGGCAAAATTATTATTTTGTCTTTTGAATTCAACTATTCAAAAAGTCAAAAAGTCAAAAGGGTAAAATGGTCATTTTGATTTTACTATAATATTTTATTATACATCTTTTCGTAAAAGTCAAAAAGTTATCCTAAGCATACATCTTTGGTTGTGTTGACCTGAGTGATTATTTGGGAGGCAAAATGAAATATTCTCTCTCCATTTATTTTTATTTTTTTGTGTG